GGTCACTAATATCCTTTCCATCTCAGAGTACAACTACTTAATGAAACTGCATTAAACTTTAGAAACTTAACAAATAGTATCTCGTTTTGGCTTTAAAAATTCATGCAATTTGATACAGATTTTTATCATTTCATGTATTGTAAATTTTCCAAATTTTATTGTAAGAAACTGTTTAAAAAAATATTAAACATACTTTTTATTGTTTTAGAATTTCAATTCTTTTTTTTAAGAGAAAGATTCATTTTATGTACACAATCAGTTTTGAAGTGATTGATATTCAATAATATTAGATCTTTAAGAAATTAATGTCGCATTTTGGAACACATTCATTAACCCCCCCCCCAAAATGTACATCACGTATAATAGTTAAACAAACTGCCTAAACAGCATGTTAGTGTAGTCTATATAATGTGTAAAGTTTAGTATACTCTTATCCCTTATAGTGATGGCACACGACAAGACACACACACATTGCACATGTAATGCTGTTTGAATACAAGAAGGGAAACAATGCCTCTGTAGCCACAAAGAAGATGAAAGAAGTTTATGGAAATGTTTTGAACGTTTGTAAGTGTCAACGGTGGTTCGGAAAATTTCGTTCAGGTGACTTTAGCTTTAAAAACTGTGATGGCAGGGGCTGACATGATGGAACTGATATTGATGCTCAGAAGACGCTTGTTGAGTGTAACCCAAGGCAACACACTCGTGAAATGGCCCTGAAATTGCATGTCTATCATGAAACAATACATAAACATCTAAGGAATGTGGGAAAACTCCTTAAAGGTGTTTGGGTGCTTCATGAACTCTCCATTAATTATCGTTTCCAACATGTGAACGTAGCTTTGTCTCTTCTGGTGTGTAATGCACTTGAACCATTTTTGATCAGAATTCACCGGTGATGAAAAATGGATTCTCTATGAGAATATCAAATGCCAAAAACAATGGCTCAGTCCTAGACAAAAACCACTTCCGACACCAAAACCTGGACTCCATCTACAGAAACTGATGCTTTGCATTTGGTGAGACATCAAAGGAGAAATTAATTTCGAACTCCTCAATCCACAGCGAACTGTCAATGCAGAGATCTATGGTCAGCAACTGGAACGTTTAAATTAAGCCCTTCACCCATCAATCGAAAAGGTGTTCTTCTCCACAATAATGCACATCTACATGTGGCACGTTTGATGCAACACAAGATTATGGAATTGGGTTTGAAAGTTCTCCCCCACCCACCATATTCTCCAGATATGGCACCATCAGATTATCATCTTTTTCGTTCGCTGCAACACCATCTTAATGGGAAAACATATGCAAATGTGGAAGGTGTTAAAGAGGACATCAACATGTTTTTGCTTCAAAGCCAAGTGATTTCTTTAGGCATTAACAACCTGACTGCAAGATGGAAAAGCATCATCGATAAGAATGGAGACTATTTCATTTGATAAATGTTTTGTTTTGATATACAAGTTGTTTGGGTTTCTTCATCTCACAAAAGTGACATTAATTTCTTGACAACCTAATACATGTACTTTGATATTTTGATTTGCCAGTTGTAATAATCCCCACTTTCAGTTATGAGTCATAAAAAACACAGATAAAACTGATAAAGACATTTTGGTAACCTACAGCTTGACTTGTCACAATGGCATCAGGTCAAGCTAGGTAATAATATTCTTGGTCAAAATTAATTTATATCTAATATCTATATATATATACATTATTCTCAATAAACTAAAAGTTATTTTACTTATGTGCATTGACCGAATTCAATAAACTTCACAACATTATTCAATAAATAAGGATTGGAATCATTGGTATACATTGCCATCATCTACATACTCTTTAAATTTAATAAGGTTTATTCAATGTGTTATCATAGAAGAAAATTTTTTTACCTTTCAAACAAATATAACAACACATGTAAACAGGAATGAAAATAACATCAAAGAAATGATAAAAAATTTCAAGGTCTGTGTTTGTTCCAAAGCCTTCTAAACTTCCCACTACATTATGTTGTTTTACTCTACAAAAGCTACAATTTGCACTTTCCCAAGAGACCATAAATTACTTTTCACACCTCTTTATTTATTCTATATTAATGTAAATCAATATAACATGCTCTAATTAACAGTACTTAAACTGCTAATAATAGTTGTTTTGATCACATGCTTTGTGATCATAAAAGGATGGGAAAGACAGGCCATCCTAATAAAATCAGAGAAATAGAAGTAAAATCATGTAAGAAACAAAATCTTGAGAACTGTATTCTCCAGGGATGATAATATTTTTTAGAAAATATAAGTCTATGCTTTGGGATGGGCAGCAAAATTATTTAAAAAAATCAATAAGTATGTTGTTTTCCAAGTGAGGCTCCTGGGAGCTGTGCAGAAATGTAAGTTGTAAAAATTTTTGTCATTTTCATTTGCAAGTTACACTAAATAAATGTTAGAAAATGGCAAAATACCAAATCTAAAATATTTTTAAAATAAAGAGAGAATTACCATTATTCTTACTTAACCTTTGAAATTTTTATTTGTTGAATTTCACACAAAGCTACTTGAAAGCTATGTGTGCTGGCCATCCCTAACTTAATAGCGATAGACTAGAGGAAAGGCAGTTAGTCAATACAACCCAGAGTCACACGGTCAACTTTTGCACATCTTTTTATGAATGAAAAGTGGAATTGACTATCACATTATAATGCCCCCACAGTTGGAAGGATGAGCATGTTCAATAACAGGATTCAAACAATGACCCACAGATTGTGGAGAGCCCTAACAACCAGGCCATGCCAGTCCTTTGAAATCTCATATGCAGGGATGCACTCACCACATAAAAGGTATTCACAAGTCCAGAAAGTGTTGATGTATTGTAAAACAAAACTGAAAATACAAGAATTAACTTTTTAAAATGACTTTTGTCTCACAGTTTGTTAAATATACTCTAGTCACATAGAACATTCCCATGAAACTAATCTACAATTAAGCAATGTATGTATGAAAAGAAGTAAAGGACAGTAACATATTTCAAGCTCTTACTTGATGTGTTTTTTGTTTAAAAGTCTCACCTTTCAACAAATTAAAACCGTAACCTTTCCTTTCTTTGTCCAAATTTTCAAATCCGTCAAACTGAAATGATGGAGTAGCCTCCTCGTCTCTCCCACTATACACAGTTAGCAGATCTGGATCAATAGAAGCTGTTACAGCCCATTTAGCCACAAGCTCTGTCACAGCACCTAACAAACAAACAAAATTTTGTGGGGATATTCACTTTCTGGAAATATATATATATATATTCAAAGTTGCTGGTCCTTGAAAACTAAAACATCAGAGTTTCTAAAGTTACTGTGTATACAGAACCATGAGTCAGAGCATAAAATATGTTATGAATCTTACCTAAGTAATTCCACATCTAAACCTATACATGTATAGAGGTCAGGTCTATATCACCCTGTTTTGCTTGATATTCTTAATAATTCATAAAGTAATAATAACATTTTAAATTTTGAACAACCTGAAGCATCACAACCATAAAACACATTAATAGTACAGAATAATTGCATCAATAGTACAGAACAAATCCATCAAAAGTACAGAAAAACTGAATCAAAAGTATAGAAAAACTGAATCAA